TTCTTGATCTCTCTCTCTCTCATCTAACTTCTCAACTAGGTATGAGTAGTTTAGTTATTTCAAAGCGTTCCAAGCACAATTGTAAATACTGAAACAAATATTCCGTTGTACCGGTTTGATGCCAAAACTTCAGAATTGTTTTCATTTCAAGGTAGCTCGGTCAATTCGTCACCACCGTTGCGCGTTGATATCCCATCTATGTGGTCTATTGGAACATTAAATAGAAGGAATTGTTCACTGTAAAGCTACACGTGGATTTTTATTATGATGCTGATTTGATTGTGATGTCTCTACATCAGGGGTGGCCATCATCATCATCATCATCATTTCAGCCACAGGACGTCCACTGCTGAACATAGGCCTCCCCCAATGTTTTCCATGTTGATCGATTGGTAGCGGCCTGCGTCCAGCGCTTCCCTGCTACTTTTACGATGTCGTCGGTCCACCTTGTAGGTGGACGTCCCACGCTGCGTTTTCCGGTACGCGGCCGTTTTTCGGTTCGAGAAGGAGGTCAATCGTCGAATCCAACTCGGCTGGGCAGCGTTCGGGAAACTACGCAACATCTTTTCGTCCAAATTACCTCAATGCCTGAAGACTAGAGTGTACCAATGTGTGTTACCAGTGATAACTTATGGCTCGGAAACGTGGCCTCTCACTATAGGCCTTATACAGAAGCTCAAAGTTGCACAGCGTGCTATGGAGAGGGCTATGCTTGGTGTTTCTTTGCGAGATCGAATCAGAAATGAGGAGATCCGTAAACGAACCAAAGTCGCTGACATAGCCCGACGGATTAGCAAGCTGAAGTGGCAATGGGCAGGGCACATAGTACGCAGAACTGACGGCCGATGGGGCAGAAAGGTTCTGGAATGGAGGGGTGGCCAACCGATCGCGAATATTAGTCCAGTCGATCGTGGCAAGGCAAAAAATACTACATGATTGTGTACTAAACTATGCTGTTTCATTTAAGATTTCAAGAAGTATGTAAGTGATAGATCGCCCAGGGGTTTGTTAGTAAACAGAGATCTATGTCTAATCAAGTTGGCCAGCCCTGGCTCTACATGATAGAAAACTAAGGCTGAGTTACACCACCTAACTTTTAAATAAAATAAATAAATAAATAACCTAAACCGTGAAACCGAAACCGAAACCTCAAGCCGTTAGTACATAATATGTAACTCATATAAAAAATGTCGCATTAAGACCCGTGTTTCTCTCTATTTTAGTTGAAATGGAACGCGAACGCTTGGGGGAGGCCTATGTTCAGCAGTGGACGTCTTGTGGCTGAAATGATGATGATGGAACGCAAAAATTTGAAATCTTATAGAAAGGCTGAGGACTGATTTTTCGCTCGCATGTCACACATCACCTGTCTGTCACTACACCCAATTTTCAAGTTCACTGGCGCAAGTGGCGTATTTATACATAACACGCTACGTTATGTCACCACAAAGTGACGTCACCGTCTGCCATGGACGTGACTCAGACAATGTCTGGGCGGGCCCAAAGTGAGGTAAGAAGTGAAAGGCCTAAATGCCTACCATCCCATCTTTAAAGTTTAACGTCGTGCAGCCCCAACGATGTTTAAATACTCTAGATAAGTATAAAGCACTACACAAAACAAGAAAAGAAAGAATACTCAAAAGAAACGCATATTTTGCATTTAGCAAAAGAGTTATTACACGAGTTTGGTACCTAAAACATGCCTTCAATGAACTTGCAATGCAAACAGGCAAGCTTTTCAGGATGCTGAAAAAACTACAGACTTGTTCCATGTAAATCTTACAGTGAAGAACTTGGGACATTACATTAGGTATGCTTCAAACTACAAGTCAATTTTCCAAATCGATTCAGACGTCTTTAAGTCTTAATCAAGGAAAAAGATTACGACGAAACAAGAACTTCATTTTGGTGAAGTCGGTTAATAAAGGAGATTGGACCTTGAAGAAGGAACTGGTCACGAAAATATAATTTTGAAAGGGTGGAAATGGTGGAATATGGAATCAAAGTTATACAAAATTTTCATGAAAATGAGAAGAAATGTGATTAATCGGGGAACAAGGTGCGATAAATCCAAAGTTATGAGCAAAAGCTAACGTGATAATAAATCTAGTAAAATTCTAAAATCCACGCCTCGTACGTACTCCATTTTAAACATTACTCATCGGTAGAGCATTTAGGTACATACTTACAGTACGGTTAAGCAGCAAATGTAAATATTTCGAGTTTTGTTTGTTTTTCCTCGATAAATATAGTATTTTAGTAATATGCCTACCTGCTATTGATACTACTGGTACTGGTGTACTTATCACTGTAACGGTTTTATTTGTATGAAAAATGTTGCCACAATAATAAAAAATATATTTTCCTTTGCCTGCCTTTGGCTGTATTTTATACATGTTTTTCCTATCACATGAGCTACACGCACGCGGAACGCGGATTGAAAATACGAAATCTTTGTCCTGCGTGCAACCAGCAGCGTGATTTTACACGCGTGCGGATCAAATCCGCACGCGTGCCTAAATCCGCATCACAAGAAATAGGCACTTACATCTACTGTGGTGATGTTGTATAATAAAATCAAAATCATCACGGGACTATTCCCACCTCTCGTTCCCACCGCTGCCACTCCTGTGTAGCCAGGATCTACAGCTTGACCGCCAATAAAAACCCAACCAGTGAAGGTCAAGTTTGTCCCGGGGGAAAGTACTGTCATTGGACCCGCAACGAAATTAATCAGAAGAACATAGGAGGAGTTCGAAGTTAAGGTTCGACTTCCCTCCATTGTTACAAAGGTTTAGTAAATCTTTAATAAAATCATTAGAAAAATAAGAAATTAGACTCTAATTTATATGAAACAATGTTCAGTTGTTGTTTACAACGTTCAGTATGTGCTACAAGATCGATTTAACCACCAAGGACGAAGCAAATTGATTTTCTTTATGCCTTTCAAGACGCTCGTAGTCTTTATAATTTTATTGACATGCATAGTTGAGAGTTGAGACATCACGTACAGAATATAATAAAAAATCCATATTTGGAGACTAAGTAATATTGGTAATATTTGGTAATATTTCACTGGACAAAGGAACATCACTACACATTTAAAAACAAAGTTGCTTTCCTGTCTGTCTGTCCCTATGTATACTTAGATCTTTAAAACTACCCAACAGATTTTGAGGCGGTTTTTTTTAAATATATAGAGTAATGCAAGAGGAACCTGTGCGAAGCAGAAGTGGGTCGCTAATACATTATACTCAATACTCAACATTTTATTGCATCCATAATGTAGATACTTAAAATTTGAATATTATGGGCCCTACATTAAAAGTTTATTATGTGAGCTTTGTGGAAATCCTTGGGGGAGGCCTTGTCCACCAGTGGTGTCAATCGGCAGCTTTGTGTGCTAAGATTATTAATATTTTGTAGCTAGGAAAATTCTCTATGCTATGAAATCAGCAAGGCCTCCATGACGTTGGCAGATGCACTGCTTCTATCCGCGATGGCAGCTGTCCATCACGCATCCAAAACAATAAACATTATCAGCAAGTTTAATTTGTAGCGTAATACGCTACTTTCAATTTGTATGAGAAAAGTGGAAAATTACGAAAGCAGGTCTAAAATAAGTAAAGCCGACTTAAACAACACAAATAATCATACTTATAAAAAACGATCATTCACTTCATAAAATTGCAAAAATAACATAAATAAAAAATGGATGGATAAGCCACGTCAAAGAATACAGTAAAAACTATTTTAATTATATGACTGAAAAAATGGCGGGAAAGGCTATGTAAAACATATAAAAAAAACCTTATTGAAGGCGACCGAGATTTTATTTAAAAGACAAGGGATAATTTTAAGTATTTTTTTTAACTCGCTCGACTTGCGCATTTATTTGCCAATGTCAAGTTTTTATTATAGTAGTTAGTAGTAAAAGTATAGATATAGCTAAGTAAAGAAGCAAAACAGAGAGTCTGAAATGTAAAGTTTTAAATTAAAACAAGTCAAGAGCACAGCATTGGAGGGAAGTCAATTGAGACTTGATTTACGCACGTGCAATCAATGTCAATAGCGTGTTCAATGTTATAAATAATGCATGTTACACAGGACTTCAGTAGAATTAAAAACACATTAAATGCATTAAACTTTCCATGGTTTAACTTAACATTATTCTAGAATTATAGAGTCTTGAAGACACATCGTTGAAATGGAACGCGAAAGTGCTAAATGCTACAGAAATAGCAGAAAGTGTCTCTCTATTGTCGTTTTCAAAATATCTACTCTAAAAGAACATCGTAAATTCGGATGCAAGAATCAATTCCTACAAAAAACAATAATGTAACACAATTTCATAGGAATATAATTAATAATGAGGAATGTTAATAATATTCCTCAAGGTTAACAGGAAAACCTCTTCTTAAATACCTAAAATAACCGAGTTAATGTAGGTAGGTATGTAAACAGATTTAGGTAGGTGAAGAAGCAAAAACCTATTGTCCCCATTTCTACAGAAACATGGAATAAAAAAATGTGGAAAACATTTTCTTCATGAAAAAATTTATCGTTCCCCGCCCATTCCGATTATGATTTTTTATTTGCGGTGACCTATAATTTGCGAATCGACCTCCTTGCTTCAAAACATCCGCCAATGCTAAATGTCCTCACCTTAATGTTTACGCCATAAGGTTCATAATTGCAGTTCACATGTTCTGACAGCTAAAACTTTTTTGTTTTTCGACAGGAAATGCTGGCATGCAAGAGTTTTACTTTGAAAATAGTTTCTTACAGCTTTGGGCGACGCGTTTTGAGCAAGAAGGTTTGAATACTTTTTGGTATGCCTACAATATGAATAAAGGTATATTTTTATTTGATATTAATAAAAGTCTGGATTTTTAGGTATCCCTGAAAGAGGCTGAATTTAAAAACTTGGTAGATCCTGTTCAAAATACCTCTGGTTCAATGCCAATTACTATGCTAACAAAAAAAGTTTAAATCCTTACCTCCTCGACGGACTTTTTGGAGAACTCGTTCATGGATACAATCCATTGCTGCACTAGTTCATTCACAATAACAAGATCATTATATAACCACGTCAACAGTTCATTCACCCATTGGACGCTCGGCTGGTCGGGCCCTGTGCAGGTGGGGACGATGATGCTCTGGTGTTTTTTTAAAGTTAACTGCTCTGGCCCAGGGGACATACGCCCCAATCTTCGCTTGTTCGGTGGAGTAGCTGGGACGAAACCAGACGGTTTCGGTGGCTTGTAGGAGTTGAAAGAAGCGCTCTTAACTTTCGCACTGGTCGCTAGAACACTGTCAGCACTGTTTATGATTTCGTTCGCGGTAGATTTCTTCGGCTCCTCGGGTTTTGGCGGTTTCACATCTTCCTGGACGGCGAGTCTCTGCCCGTACTTGGTGTATGCCCACTTGGCGATACCCAGGAGTACGATGGAGAAGAGCATCCAGATAAAAATGAGCATTACGAGGTTGTCCATGGCTGTGTCCATATAATCGAAGCTGCATATAAAGTCGTCAACCGCTTCGGCGAGGTCGGCCATAGTGGTCCATGGTGTCGCCCACCAGGACGCGTGCGGTTTTCCCGCCTGACCGCCCGAGACTGCGGAGCGAGGCATTTTTTTTCTATTTTCGCGCGTTCTATTTTCAGAACGTAGCTCTCTATCCCGAGATACCGTTATTTGAACGCTGGTAACATTATTTTTTAACGTTATTTTTGTTAGTTTTTTTTAGTTTTTTTCGTTCGGTATTCAATCGCAGTTTCGTTTCAAAGAGTTATCCGTGGTTCTTTGTTGACACAACTGTAGCATGGTAGCGTATCTGAAACAAACAAAATATGATTTAGTTTCAAAATAACACAGCACACTGATGCATCCCGATGAGTAATGTTATTTCAGAGCGTACTCGTATAATGCTGCTGGTTCGATTCTCGAGTTGGTTCATTAGATACTGATCTGTTAGATACTATGTACCTACAACTTTTTTTTTCACAGTATACAGGGTGACTTTGAAATCGTTGGCATCCTTTTAAAAAAAGACTCTACTCATGATACATAGTGCCAGTACTGCCAGTATAACCTGCATTTGATCCTTTAAAATACAAGAACTCAAATTCTCTGTTTAGCTCAAAGGTTAACTGGTAGAGAATGCCACACGGCATTAAGTTCGCCTTTTCTACCGCATTTTTTTGTATGTGCAATAAAGATTTTAAATAAATAAATAAACAACGCTTACTAGAAGCAGTAACAGGTAACAATATAATTCATTATTATGTCAACTTGATAAATAATGCACTATTGAACTAGTGCTGTTATCCGTACACACAACCTTCAGCAAAGTATGCACAAACACAGTCTAACAATTACTTAAGTAATTATTGACTCAAAGTCAATACAACATGTCATAATAGTACTGCACATCCAGCTAAACTAATACTGAGTTGCACCACCTAACCACCTAACTTTGACCGTAACTATTACGATAACCGGTGCTTTTTGCATACAAAACTCCATAGACAAACTCCATAGAAAAACTCCATAGAGTTTGACAGATTTTTGTTATGTCAAAGTTAAAGTAAGATATGGTGCAACCCAGCCTAATACTTATATTCTTACTAGCGTAATACGGGGGTAATACGCGTGGATCCCGTTTTACCCCCTTAGGGGTGGAGTTTCGTAAAACCCGTTCTTAGTGAGCACCTACGTTCTAAAACGAATCCCATGCAAAATTTGAGACTCCTAGCGCTTGTAGTTTCTGAGATTTCGTGATGAGTGAGTGAGTCAGTCAGTCAGTCAGTCAAACTCTTTTGCTTTTATAAATATAGATGTCTTTGTAATAAGTGAGGTTTTACAATAAAAATTTATAATCTGATGGGCTGTATGTATACTTTGAGTGTCATTTGTTTATTTTACTGTATATAACTACGTGGAATTTGCATAAAACCAATATTGATAATACCTGCTTGCTATAGTACAAATAAACAGAATGTTCTAGCTACGTGAATCGTTATTTTACATGGTTTATGCTTAAACTCAATTAAAAACGGTTTATAATTAGTTAAATAAGAACTTCAGCAGTGGACGTCCTATGGCTGAAATGATGATGATGATGAAAAAAGAACTAAGGCTGAGTCATTTTAACCGTGGCTTTAACCACCGGTGTTTTTTGTATGGGAGTTTGGCAGACTTTTGACGTTTGTTAAAGTTAAAGTAATCGCAGGACCAGTAGTTATAGAAATCCTTTGGGAAGGCCTTCGTCTAACTGTGGACGTCATTTGGCTGAACGAACGATAAATAAGTAGGCTAAAAGTGCTCTCCATACTATTAATTGTATTACGACAAAACTTTAAATTCTTGAGGTCCCCCGGTTTCACCTACCACACGTCATCCTACCTTGACATAAATATAACGAATGGGCAGAGAAGGGTTCGACCCCAAGTTAGACGAGTGACTCAAGTTTGAGAATGAATAGACTTTAATAAATTAAGTCATCACAATAATACTCCGATAGCGTAGTAGAGCAGTAAATAGCTTTTAATCGACAGATAGTTCCGGTTTGATTCCTATTTCAATAGTCAAAAATAACTACTGGCAGAACGCAGTCAGACCCAGAAGTGAAAGGGGAACAGAATTCCTAGTCCAAAAAATAATTTCGAACTCCTCTTATGTTCTTCTGATTAATTTCGTTGCGGATCCAATGACAGTTTAATTTTCCCCCGGGACAAACTTGACCTTCATTGGTTGGGTGTTTATGGCGGTCAAGCTGTAGATCCTGGCTACACAGGAGTTACAGCGGTGGGAACGAGAGGAGGGAATAGTCCCGTAGTCCAAAAAATAGGCCAGAAAAGGCTTCCAGCAAGCTGAACCATTTAAGAACCTAGTAAGAGTGCAGCGGAGTAAATTTTACAGGAGAGCGAAAAAACGCATTTTCATTTGCCTTGCTAAGATGCTTAAAGATTTGGATAACTTCTGATGTTTATATTGAAGATTAGTAACTAGAGTATACTTTATGGAATAAATAAATATATTTTGTTAAAATTGCAAGTCTTATGCCCCTTACTAACACTAAAAATTAATTTATTAACAAAAGTTACCTCGTAAAACCAAAATCAAAATGTAAAATAAATCAGTACTCATGTAATATAGTTCTCAGATTTAGATAAGATTATAGAGTGTTAGCCAACAGAATTCGAAATAATATTTAAATTGTAGTAGCATTTTACCTCTAGTAAGTCACATTGACCATTTTAAAACCTAGTAAGTCCTAGGTTTTAAAATGGTCATTGTAGCTTGCTAGGTTTTGATAATGGATTTTGCAAATTTGAATTCGACTTACTAGGTTTTTAGCAACGCGTTCTACAACCTTTACATTCCATCTGGTGAGAGAGTGAGAGATGCATGCAGCCTAGAGAAACTTAAGACATTTTGCATGTGTGAACACAATCACATTATAGTTGCGCCGGCGCCGAAGTGTGTCGTGTCCTTGCGGCGATGTCACGAGGTCAGCCGATAACCGTTGAATTTAAAATGCTTATTAACAAGATAATTATGCTGTTGTGGCTGACATTTTAACCCGCCATTGACATTATGTCTGTACAAATAAGAATTTGGACAAAATAATGGCTTTTGCGATATGTTTTGTTGAGAAAAAGAAATAATGTATTGTAGTCCTGGAGACAAGTTTTTTTTGTGCCGGTTTTTGAATTGAGATTCATCCTCTATTAAATTGCATGAAAAACTTTGAGAATCCTCAAATCAATTCAGGATAATTCGGGAATTCGTAGAGAATGCTCACAATCTTAATTAGTTACTTTATGAGTTCTGGGACATCAGTTTTCAGATATTTTTTTCAGATCTTACTATTGGTATTTAACTAGATACCTACTTAATTCGGGTTAAATTAGAACGCACTTTAAGCACACTATAAGTCATAAATACAACTTCCTTGTATGACTCTACATTTGCTAAGACTTCTAATCGATGACTAGTGATGTTCTAATGAATGACCGAAGCAAGGGCTTAGAATTAGTGATTTTTAATTGATGCTAATTGGATGAGTTTGCATTAAGTAGCATAGATTTAAAAATCTAAAAATATAGGTAGGAAATAAGTACGTAGACTTATCTATAACGAATATTATAAAGCTGAAGAGTTTGTAAGTTTGGTTGAATGATGTGCCGCCAAAATAGGTCTAAATATTATGATAAGTATTTTACATACTTGTTTTCTTTAATTTATAAAATCCGTGTTGATTGATTTACCCACTCAATAATGAGATTCACACACATAAAAAAATCACCCATTTTTGATTATTAAAGTTTTTACAATCCTATTCTTTTGCAACTCCCTCATCAAAGTTTAGCCTTGACAAGTCACTATGAAGGTTGACACCATTATTCTCTGTTTTGTCTGACACATGTCAAAACTTAATCACCTAATTGAACTCCCAATTTACTTATTATTTAATTACTATAAAAGGTCACCCAATAACAGTTAAATTAAGTAAACAACATAAAATTAAGTAAAAACAACAGATTTAATGTAAGGTTATTACAATTATCATTAACTGACCTTCGTTCAAGTTTAACTGCGTATTTTCATTTTATTTTGCACTAAAACTCGTTTTAAACTTTTACACACATGCTGCGTCTGCGCACAGCAAAGGCCACGGATACACTGAGGTGAAATAGTGTTGCTTGTCGATAGTGGACTATCGAGTGTAAAGTCAAAAATAATAAGTAGTATCGATATCGATAGTATCAGTAGGGCAGGAATTTTTTACCCAGGAAACAATGACATCCCTAACACTGATTACTACTGATAGTTTTACGTACGATACTATCATACTATGGATTGTATTACGGGATTATTCCCATCTCTATTCCCACCGCTGCAACTCCTGTGTCGCCAGGATCTACAGCTTGACCGCCAATAAAGTTGAAGGTCAAGTTTGGTCGGCCTTGTCATTTCTATAGCATAATATCGATTGTTTTGGATATTTCTGGCAGTTTTTGCTATACATCTATCATAGTATGGGGTCGCAAGGTTCTGGACTCGTGGCCACGTAGGTACCAGCAAGCGCAGCATAGGACGTCCACCTACAAGGTGGACCAACGACCTCATAAAGGCTCTGGATGCAGTCTGGAAAATGTTGGGGGAAGCCTATGTACAGCAATGGACGTCCTCTGTCTAAAATGAATATCAGGCGTAAACTATACTATTAGACATGGCGGTACTATCGATATCCAGAATATTTTTCGAGATCAACATCCCCAACACTAAGCAAAACCCAATTCGTATCAGTGATCTCACACTCAGTTAATATAAATAAATAATGCACTTTTAAATGCTAGTGATTTTATATAGAGCGTAGTTCACGTTGCAGACAAAAGGATGAATTGGGCGATTTATAAAATGGCCGATAGTATTTTTTTAATACACCTTAATATTTATATTTTCCCTAGACATCTTTGAAGTCTAAGTTTTACCTTCCATTACTAGCTCATCATCATCATCAAATGCAGATGATAACTAGGCAAATACTTACAATTTCTCTAGGTTCCCATCATCAAATCTTCAAAATTGTTGACAAATCTATCGAATAAAATATTAATTTTGAATCGGTCACAATTGACCATCGCAGCATCGGTTCACACCAAAAAAAAACATAATACCTAACTAATTTTAATGTTCTTCTCGTTAACGCAGATTACATCATCAACTGATTCATTCATTATTAATAATTATTATTTCTGTCCACTTTACGATCTAACCTTGCACAGTGGCCCACTTTAAACACGTTTTAACTATCAGTTATCACAATTAGAAGTCCATTGTTATCGCAGAGGTGAGTAAGGTTTAACAAACATCCTATTGTTGTAAACAGGTTTAGTCTAGATTTTAGATACTTTGCAGAGATTCTAATTTTAGAACTTTCTGATCCTTGACTCAAAAATAGATTAAATTTGAACCATTGCTTTAAAAATAACCAATCGCAGATTAAAAAGTGTCAATCCGAGCTTCGTTTAATAATATGGATTAATTATTAAAAATAAACGCTATAGTTATTATTATTATAACAGAATATAGAGCGTCAATTAGGTATATCATCATTACATGTACTTTATAAATAAGTTTATCCTTCTACAGTAAAAATAAATCTTTTATTTATGAACACCTTAAGTACCGTAACACGATTATTTCTGGATTTTCACCAACCAGCCTAATCCATTAGCAATAAAAAACCATCCTTAAAGAAATATTTTAGGTTCATCATCATCTTGTAAAAAAGAATCTTGCTAAAATTTAATAAAAAGAGTTAAAAAGAATGCTGCTGCGCAAAAAATACAGCGAGGTTTTCTGACATTGATGCAATGATCGCGGATAAAAGACAACACAGTATAAAAATACGATAAGTAGTAGCTTTAATTTATTTTTAATTAACTGACTTTATTTTTTTGAATTTTTTTTTCATTTATAAAATACACATAAGGGACTGAGTTTTTTTCGACGTTATAGAGAGTAATCGTTAAATGGAGTGACACAATAAGTAAAGCGAAGTGAAACCAATGCAAACCAAGAAAGTCAAGAAACTTCGACGTTATAAGGAGGATGTAATTTTAAAAAGAGTTTGTAGAGTTTTATTCTTTAATCAAGTAAAAATAATGAATTAGTACAACTTTAATTTAGGTACATTACTTATTTTCATTATTTTATTTTATTTATTAGCTCTACTTTTAAGCCCCAAACGCCTCAATTCATTTAAAACAGTTTTATTTTATTACTTATTTTCATTATTTTATTTTATTTATTAGCTCTACTTTTAAGCCCCAAACGCCTCAATTCATTTAAAACAGTTTTATTTTATAATTAGTTTTTAGTCTCAAACGGCTTTTAAAATTACTTTTTCTCTTTGACTGTAGCATAGACAAAAACTCAAGTTACGCAAGCCCATGACATCACCCGCAAAAACCTTCGCGTGACGTCACACCGGAGGGCGCCGACCTGGCTCTATGGTCTGATGGCGCTTTATTTATGCTAACTAGGCCTATTTACATAAGATGGAGACGTAAACACCATGAAAACTTCTTGATTTGTAGAAATAATGTTGTACAATGTACATACTATATTTTCTTATCATATATAGGGTGTTAGGTAAATGGGTTTAATTTTCATTTACACAAAATAAATTTTATAAAATCCGGTTTGTATGAAAATTAAAATAATTAAAATGAAGATAGATAGACCATACCATTTATATGACCATGTTAACATGGGCTAGTGTCGGCTCATATAGAATATATCTGTTACGGTCAAAGTAATAAATGTGAAATTATGAATAATCGCCGGTTATTATGAATAATTACCGCATGATTTGGAAAATGTGATTAATATGAGGTCATTTATGTGTGTAAGTATAAAACTAAACAGGCGGCTTAGGGGTGACCCAAGGGCCACCCCCGCCGCACCTTAACCTATTTTTCACTTTAAATCAAAACATTATGTTATAGGCATCATGGAAAAGTAATATTATGCAAGAAACACTCCAAACTCATTTTGCCAAATTATATGAATATATTATGATATCAAAACGTTCAAAAGTTTGGCTGTACACGAGCAGTACGAGCACGTACACAAGATGTTGTTCTCTTTTATGAAATTTGTTAGTACTAAGCTTAAATTATTAAATAATCACTGTTAAATGTGATTCATTTATCACTTTTACCGCGACTGTCGGTAATTATTCATAATAACCGGTTATTATTAATAATTTTCAATTTCGCAAATTTAAATCACATTAACCGTAACATATCCATTTACCTAACACCCTGTAGAACAGTCAGCGTCAAAAATGTTCGTCGTGACACCCAAAGTGGCCAAAAAGTTGACAACACAACCTGAATCCAATTATTGTAACAAAAATGTGTTGCGAAGTTTTTGGCTACTTTGAGTGTCACGAACTATTTGACGCTCACTGTACCCACCTAGATATGTACCTACCTACTTGTTATTTTGTTATTAGTTGAGGATCGAAAAAAAAACACAGGATGTGTTTTTAATAATAAGCACAGATTTTCAAAGCAATTACTCATTTTAATGTTTTTAAGTAACATGTATATGTTATTTTACAAAATATTTTGTTCTCACTGTTCTGTAGATTTATGATATTTAAAATAAAAATATTTTTAATTAAAATCTGCATAGTGTTGCCACAGTTTAATAGTTTACGACTGGTTGCAGATAAGCGCAAAAACATTATAATTGTATGTTTTGATTTTTTTATCTAACTAATTATTATTAAACTAAAATAAATTATTAGATTTTTAGGACATCTACCTACTAAATAACAAAACTTTAAAAAATGTTACGGTGCAAAAAAGTCGAAAGCTTTAGGAGATAACATTTTTAAGAAAATTTCAACATGGAACTTGTTCTTGTCAATATAGGATCCCAAGGTCGACTCCTTTTTGACTCTACGGCCTTTCTAAAAACTTTATTTAAATATACCACTTGAAGCAATACTCTTCAGTAGCGCAGTAGGTTAAACACTTGTATTTTAATAAACTAATCCGCTGTAGTTTGATGGAAGCCAGACGGAACACCTAAAGCTCTGGGAGCTTTTATTGATCAGAAAACATAAGTTGTTTTTCTCACGCAATGGAGCTTACATTTTAATTCTGTGTATTGCTAGGAATCGTACGAGTGTCTATGTACATTACTAGTAAGTAGGCATGAATGGAAAAGTTCGTTCGTTCGTTTCAGCCAAATGACGTCCACTGCTGGACAAAGGCCTCCCCCAAGGTTTTCCACAATGAACGGTCCTGCGCTGCCCGCATCCAGGCTCTTCCCGCGACCTTTACCAGATCGTCGGTCCACCTAGTAGGAGGCCTGCCCACGCTACGTTTTCCAGCCCGTGGTCGCCACTCGAGAACTCGAGAATGGAAAAGTAAAACTTTTTAAACTATTTAATTAATGTTTGCCTGTAAAATAAATCTACAAGTAATACTTCTTAGTTCAGGAAAAACTGGAAAGCTCCGGTTCAAAATTATGTGTTTTTAATTTCTCTCAACCATTGATTTGTTTTATATTTTACAAATACAAATATTTTATTTATTTATGCAAACACACCGTTTACGCATACACCTTCAAATACAATTGGTAACAATGAAATCCGTAAACATTATATTATAATATTTTCATTTTGGTGGTTAAACTCGTACTTGGTTATCTAAAATATACATATTAACTCAAAGGTGACTGACTGACTGACTGACATAGTGATCTATCAATCAGCCCAAACTACTGGACGGATCGGGCTGAAATTAGGCATGCAGGTAGATGTTATGACGTAGGCAGGCATCCTCTAAGAAAGGATTTTACGAAACTCCACCCCTAAGGGGGTAAAACGGGATCCACGCGCACGAAGTCGCGGGCGGCCGCTAGTTACGTCATATACGTTTGTTTAAGACGTAATAACCATTTCATAAGGTTTCATTGTTCCTGTTTAGATTTTCTAGTGTTTAGTAATTAATTAATTAAAGTGTGTGTTAATTAGCAAAATAAATACGCAATTAATAAGTTCAATACCTCCTGGTGGTCGATATTTTATCTAAATCTAAGAATAAATTCTTTTCATATCATAACGTGATAAAAATATAGAATTA